GGAGGCCTGCAGCTTTCCTTTATTTATGAAGGGTCACTTCACCTCAGAACCCAATGCCAAAAAGACAATTAGTGCAAATTCACCTTGACAACATAACCTGTATTTTTCCTGGGCTTTGATCCACAGATCCCTCCTCTCAGAATATTATTACAACGATTACTGCAATCTAATTAGTTGTGCACTTACACCTTCTGGTGAAGCTACACAAATTAGGGTAAACAATGCAGTTTGCTGGTGAAAGTGATAGTGTGATATTGTTGTCCCTATGTTGAGGCTTAATTTTGAACTTTGCCTTTAGGTCTAACGTGATGAGGTAGTGAGTTTTTGTGGGATACCTGGTCTTGAGTAACTCCTTGATAGTAGGCAAAGTCATATGACAGATTCCTTTGTGCTGCACAGAGGGAAAAAATTAAGTTTTTAATATCTTCAGAGTCACACTTAAAGATCAGATCTTTCTCTACTTGTAAAAATACCATCTCAATATTCAAATCAATATTTCATGTATGCTAAGTAGTTATCAGGTAATTTGATCACTTTGTCTTTCAGTAAGTTGGAATAAAGTTGACACCTGCTATGCCATGTACAACTCCAATACTTTTGATGGGGAAGTACTGCCTGAAATGCCCATCTTTAAAAGAAGAAATTGCTGTCATGAAGAGGAGACTTTGCCAGCTTAGAGCTAGTACAGCCCTAAGCATTCTGATAGCATAAATGCACAGTCTAAAGTCTGTTAGACACATAAAGAATTGTATTCACAACAAAACTAGAACAATGTTCTTTGTTTTGGAGAACTTTTTATGGAATATCTTTGTATTCATTTGCCTTATTACCATATAGGAAAAAAGAAAATTGTTTTTGTGTGGTCTACTCCAAACTTTTGTAGTTCTATGTATGATTTGTATGATTGTTTCCAGTAATCTATTTTTGCAGAGAATAAACAAATGGATTATGACTGGAAGAAAAAGAATAAAGCTGTTAAGAAGCAAACATCTAGAAGACTGCATATCAGATCAGCAGCCAATAATTATCAGTATATTAAATGCTATGCTAATACTAATACACCATAGTAATTTGCATTTTGAAACTAGTACACAATGGTAAGAATACCTGTGCCTTTTAATGTAACTTAAATGTAAGAAAATGTTAAAGTTATCAAAGTAATATAAAGAAAATGTTAAATTAATCAAAGTTAACCTAGAATTGATACAAACTATGATATGCCAACACAGCGTGAGGCACAGAAACACACTCTGTTTATGGTTTATGTAATACTTTCATCCTAGAATTTCTTTTCAAACCTTAATCCATACAACAGTGTCTATTTCAGGAAACAAAGGGATAATCAAATGTGGTAGAAAGATTGATTTTTTTTGCTGGGTATTTTTTATTTTTTTTACCAAAAAGAAGACACTTCCTAAACAGAATGGATTTCATCTGATCTCCCACTGTAATTCTGTTCTGGATATGTTATTCTAATACCAGAAATAATATACTGATATTCCTGCTTTTTCTTATATGATGTTATTCACTTACAGAATAAAATTATAAAATTGAAGTATGTGAAAGAATAAATAATATGTAAATATAAAAAAATATTAAATCTAAAGAAAAATCTTGGAGAGACATAATAAAAAATTTATTGGGAGAAAAAATTAGGTGCCTTGATCACTTGGAATTTCATCATTGACATTAGCCTCTATGTTTTCTGAATTGCAATATTGAGATGGATAGCAATAAGGACTCACAGATAAAAGGCAAGAAAAGATTAAGTATCAGAGATTTAAAATGCGTGTGTCACTCTTTCCTTTTCCTGAAAAACCCAATCAAATTCTTGTTTTATGTTTCAGTGTAATTAGAAACAATCATCATGATAAGAGATGAAAGAAACTCTGGATTTTAGTTTCTTTCATTAATAGACACATGCAAGCATAAATGTCTGGTGCAGCTAATATGTTAATTTTTTTCTTCTTCCAAAGCTGATTACAAAATAAAAACCTTAGAGAAATATAAAAATGTAATTAATCACCAAAGGAACTATGCAGATATAGTGAGATATAAGAGGGGAAGGTGTGAAGACCCAGGAGAAACACATAACTTAAAATTGTACAAAAAACTCAGAGATAAGCAAGAAACTAAAGAAGTTCTTACAAAAATAAGCCCTTCTATAATAAATGCAAAATAATTAGGAATTGTAATAATTAAGTCATGAGTAAAATTATTTTGTATATGGAGGAACTTATAATAAGAACTAATATTAAACTAACATTAATTAACACTTTCAGAGATCGTTATTTAAAGCATAACAAACTTGAGGGTTTGAAGTAGTTATACATACAGCTACGCTCCACCAGGTTCCTACAGTATGCTTGCATTTATAGAAAATATCTGAAGTTTGCAGAGATTTATTTATTATGAAGTTATAGCTAAGTAAGGATTATTATTTACAATAGCATGCCACCAGTGACTTCATTCCATAAGATTCTGAGTTGATGCTTGCACTGTGCCTTGTATTTTCAAACCACTTTGAAAAGAAGTTAAATAGATTAAAAACTTTCAACATTATAAATATATTTATTTATAATATATTTGGGTAAAGCGTATCTTTCATGCATAAAGTGGGCCTCCAGTTATGGAGGCCTGCTTTTACCCATGAAAAATTAAGCTGAGTGAGCAGATTTTATATTCAGTGAATATTATATATTCGTTTTATACTAAAATATTAACCACAATTGCATTATTGGAGACACTTTTCTATACCCAGCAGCCCAAAAACTCAATGCTATCGCTGCTAGTGACAGCCCACAGGCCTTGTAGTGCCCATGCCTGACAATGCAAGTCCCAGCCATGCCTTGTGTTGCCAGTTTGTTATGGGAGCTGGCACTGTGAACTTGGCAGCAAGTAGCTCATTACCCTGGGTAATTTTCTCACTGTCTTGCCAGTGTGAGCAGAGGCTGAAAGCAGCGAGGCTCTGGAAACCCAAACAGCTTCATTCTGGTCAAGAGTTTTTCCCCTTGGTTGAGCAGTGGTGCAGATTGCCCAGGGATGTTGTGCTGCATCAAAGGTTTGCAAGAACATTCTGCTGCAAATTCAGTCTGACTCTTCGTTCAGGAGGAGGTTGGACTAAAGACCTCTTGAGGTTTTGTGTGCATGCTGTAGAGCTGGATAAGATTTTGCCTTAAAAAACTAGAAGTAGCCAAGCACGGGTGCGTAGGAGAATTAGGGTATGGGGAGGTGGAAGCAGGGAGAGGAGCCCAGGTGAGCACACATTGAGTCAGTGAATATGAACATCACAGTCTGCAGCCATCAGTGCTGACTGCACAGCATTGTCCTTGTGATTTTGCGTATTCACATCTGGTGCAGTACGGTTGTTAAGGGAGAACTGCTTTCAGTGTGCAGTGATAATGATTAACAATGTGCAATAACTAATTATTATCAACATGTGATGTTAATTAATGTCAATCTAGTAAAGTGTTGTTTTAAGAGTTTGAGATTTTTCTGTCTTCTAAGCACTCCAATCACAGCTCTCTAGTTTCTTCAACCTTGGTACGCACAGGTTGTAAGAGCTGGAAGTGAGTTGTTACAGGATGCCTTAAAAATTCTGAGTGTTCTTGACTGTTGATTAAAAACATGCTGAAAAACTAATACATGTATTCTTAATAAAATTAAATGAGCAATTATTTCTTAAAAAAAAAAGAAGACTATTTTAATGAAAAACTGAACTTGATTACTTTTTGCTGGTCTCTTATTTTTGATTAATTTTTACTGCAGAAATGAATGAAAGAGCTCCATCTCAAGTATAGTATGCAGTTCATGTTCTGAGAGACTTTTATAAAATCGTGAATTAAAAAGAAGGCAAATATGGACTATCTTTTAATGTTCCAATGTATGACATCAGGGAAATTAAAACAAAAAACTATGAAAGCAGGTGGAATTATTATAATAAAAAAATTAAAGACATTCTTTTACAATGAAACCTGCTTTTATGTGAAATGGTGAAGGTAAAATGTAAGGATCCTAAGTCCTTGGCCATTAGAAGACATGATGGACCCAAAATGAGAGAACACATATTCCACTTAGGAAAACCTGTGGCCTTAGCAAACTGGACATTACAAGAGCGTATCTGAACCATATAAATACACACTTATCCCTAATCACCCACTTCATGATGTCTTATGACTAAAAGAGACTAAACATATTCAGAACCTGGAAAATATTGGTTACAGCTGACAATTTTACTGCTGACACTCCATCAATTGAATGTCTTTAGACGCTGGTGGTAGTGAAGTGAGTAATATCTTCAGGGGAATGTTAACTTGACCAGTAAGTGTGATTCCACACTGTACATACTAATTTGTTTGTAATGAAGATCTCTGCACCTGAGCTAAACTTCCTAGATTTCTTTTTCAGTTAGAGGAAAAAAAAAAAAAGGTACTTATAAGGAAAGATTTATCAGTTGTGTTTTAATGTCCACATTGGTATGCATACGCAAATGTAAAATAGTATCAGTAACCAGAGAAAAAATAGGCTGCATTGGCTGGAGCTCCAAGGAATATGTAAATTCAAATGGTGAATTTCGATGCATTTCAATGCAGATGTTCAAGTATATAAATCCTCCCAGTACAGGATCCAGAGACCATCAAGTGCAGCTAATAAGAGTCAAGTTCAAACAAACAGATGATGCAATAATTGTCGAATAGAAGGTTGGAGGAGAGTTACTGATTCTGTTCTATCAGCTCATTTACAGACCTAAGAAAGGAGCCGCTGCTTGTGTTTTCAACCCTTGCGAAGTATGAGTATGGAAAAGAGGGCACAATAGACAAAAACATCTATTCTGGACTGTTATTTTCTGAGAGGTACTGAGTCTTTCAAGTATGTTCTGCCCTCAGTATGATAAAGATATGTTTTGATGTAGCCAGATAATGTTTCAAAGGGTGATGTAAATATGTTTTTATTTCCATTTTATCTGGTGTGTATATAGTAAGAAGGATGTTAGAACATACCTCTGAGAAGAGCAGCAGATATTTTGTTGAATCAAGTCCTAGGCCATTCTTCTCTTCACTGACCAAGCTGAGACATATTTGTGTCCTAGAGATTATTTTTCAAGTGTTGCAATGGCTGTGAAAAGCAGATATAAAAAAGCCCATACATAAAAACTCTCACTGGGATATTCCCTGGTCTGAGTTGCACAGCCTATTTTCCTAAACTACTGACAATTTTTTTCCTGTTAGGTTTAAACATAGTGCTTGAATTGAATGCTAGGAATGGTTATTCACAAAATATGCAAGATAATATGCTTTAAAATATGAAAATGGCTTTCTGCAAACACTCTGAATAAGTGGTTTGAAATCTTTTAACCTTGCTTCACAAATTATAAAAAGAGAACTGCAGGGAGTTATAATCCTTATATTTCCTAGTTAAGCTATTACATTGTTAACAAATGTGTCAAGAGAAACAGAGTATTCATTATTTTTAAGATACATCTCTTTAAAACTCAAACAACTTCAAACCAAATAAAAGGGTGATTTAACATCACATGTCCAAATTCAGTTAATTGCACACAATAGTGGGCATGGAAAAGGGTGTAAGAACACCTTGAGCACAACAGACTGGAAAAAACGGTCAAGGCACAAAATCCTGAATAAAAAATGAACTGCTTTACTTCTGCTAAAAACAAGAAAAACAATTCCTATTTTAATTCAAGTTTAACTTGGGTGAAGTGAGAAATTACAGCAATTCTAAGTAACTAAAACATAGCAAAAATAAAATAATCAAGCTCTGATCTTAATTGCAGGGAGCAGAAAAAAGAAGCATTTAAATGTTCTGTGACTCTTCAAGCCACTTAAACACAATTTCATTGCTTGCTGTAAGAAAAAGGACAGACAGAACCTCATAAGAGCTTTGCTATCATTTTGTTCAAGAGAACCACTACATAACATAAAAAACCTGAATCAGTTCTTGCTTCTGAAAATAGGTAATAAGTTATTTTCAATCAAAAACAGAAGAAGCAGCAGTTGGAAGAAAAAGAACGTTATTCTCTTCTGAAAACCAGAAGTTCTCTATGCTACTCCCGAAGAATACAATTCTGACAGAAAACAAATTCCTCTCTCCTGTTTATGCTCAAGGCTGTACAACTATCAGTTCAACTTATGCATGTTCAGTGTCTCTCATGGCCTCAGAGTCTCTGGCTGAATCTCCTGCTGATTTTCCTGTGTAGAACAGCAGACTCATCTCTCTCTACCTCCAATGGAATGCTTGGTCAGGTTTTTAGCTGTCCACAGAGCTTGAGTGGGATCCTTCTGAAGCTCTTTTTTCTCAGCTTTTGACAGGTGTACACAAAATACCAGAGAGAAATTCTCAGGCTTCCAGCCTGGACTTGAGGGAACAACCCAGGAGTTTGGTTCCTTGGAGGAGGGCAGTCAGAACCCTGAACTAATGTAAAATACGAACATATTGTTTCTCATGTGAAACACTTTGTTAACAAAATGTGAAAAGGAACAGTTGAACAACTGACTTTTATTTAAACCACATGGCCCAGTTAGAGACTTTGTTGCCATGTGTTCACTAACTATTTTCCTCCTTTTTATTTTTTGCTAATAGCATCTAGAATTTTTTTTTCCTTATAGCAGCTAGATTTGCTAATAGCATCTTAATCAAAGTAGACTTCAGAATTATTAACTACTAGAAGGTATGTAAGCTGTTAATTTTGCTTTACAACGGCTGAGCAGGTATATTTGTATTACTCCAGATTTTGTTTAGGGTGAACAAGTTAGTCTTAGAAGTCAAACACAGCCAGGAATGGCAATGTTTCCATTGGAATGAAGGTGCTGATACTATAGCTCTTACTGGTGGCCTTAAATATAAACAGCAAAACAGCAGAAGTTTGACAAGTTGTTTGTATACCATAAATACTGTAAACCCCAAAGACACTCTTACTTGTTGGCAATATTTATTGAATTATCTGAGAATTTAAAAAAATCTTTTTGGAACTCAGTACCCAGAAAGACTTCATTATAGTAATTACAACAATTTTATCTAAAAATTTCAGTGTAATACTATAAACTACTGACTGTATTGAGCCTGTCAGTCTAATTTGGCTGCTCTCATATATCTTCTATGGGAAACAGGCTAAGAGATGAGCACTGCTCTATTTCTGTGACCTTTTAGGGTTTATGGGCAAGAGAATCCTAGTATTAAGACTGTGTAATCATACCTCACATGTAAACTCCAATCTTTCACGTAAATCTCAGAAAACTTTTCACTAAGATATCTGGTGGAGCAGTTTCTTCTCAAATATCATGTATGTCTCAGTGAATCTCCAGAAGGATCCAGAGGAACAGCATCTGTATCTATTGCCTTTTTACTAATTGTGGAATGGTCAAATAATTCAGATATATTTCAGAGGTTTGTATCACCTAAATTTATTCCAGACAACAATATTTGCCAATGCCAAGGTTAAATAAAGAGGAAATGCCTTACTATCAAGGAAAAGCAGCAGAAATAGCAGAAACTCTTCAACTTTCTCAAGTTCTGTTCAGTAACTGGCTGTGAAGCTGTTCATGAAATAAAGATTTTTTTTGATTGTTTCTTTAAAAGAATAATTTACTTCATAGGGTGGAACATTACAGGTGGTAAAAGGAGAAAACAAATATATTTTGATGACTGAAAGATATTTAGGGTCCTTTCCAGGGTAAATTATTCCATGACTCTGTGATTCTTTGCAATAACTATTGCTAAAGATTTCACACTGTCTGCCTCTATCTAGTGGAGAAACAGTGGGCAGCTTTGTGAAGTATACACTTTACACTCAGGTTAGGATTGGAACTCCTTTAAGGAAACACTTTTACTTCAGAAAAAGAGAATAAAGATTCTGGGGGGGGGGCTCAGGGGGTGTTATTTGGGTGTTTGTTTTGGTTAAGTTTAATAAACCTGAAGAGTTGTTACTCACTGATCCTGCCAAGATCAACACTGCAAATCAGGTAACATTGTAGTAGTTTCTATGGGTTCATGCTCTTCTCCAAAGAACCTCTTCAGGAGAAATTTCGTTCTATAAGTTACAGATTCATGACATACTAAATGATTCAGCTATGGTTTTCAATTCTATTTCATTTTTTGCATAGAATTTCAAGCTCCATGCACAATCAACTTGGGAAGCTAAGTCTTACTAAAGAGAAATCAACCTTTCTTTTAGATCTGGATAGGATTTTTTTTTTTTTTCAATCATCATGGCTAATGTTTATGCTGTATAATTTAGGGCTTAAAGTTAATTTTTAAATTTAAGCAGTAAAGGTATTCCATAAAAGAAATTAATAAGGAGATGAAAGCCAATAAGAAATCTTCTCATCATAAAATAGATACACCAAATTCTTTCCATTAGCTATAAAGTGAACCTAGAACTACTAGCTTATATTTAATTAGCTTAAATTGCTGTGTGAGATAAGGCTGACCTTTCATTTAGCAGGGCATCTTTCTGCTTTGAACTTTTTGGCTATTAGTCTAGGTTTCATTAAGGCTTTGACAGATACAGGCTTACACATCCAGCTGTTACAAATGAGCAAGGTACACTTCCTTCTATTTTTTTGGCTAACTGCTTCTGGTCTCCATCCCTCTCTCTCTGCTGTCAAATGCCTTCAACAGACTGGATTCAGTGCAATGTCTATCAGCTTTAACTACATTGGCTAGATTTCAAAATAAATTCCAATAATTTTCACTGAAGTGGCTCATCTCCTTTCCTCCTCTGTAATAAAGGTAGATGCTTCAAGAATGGAACCACTAAAAAGTTGAGAACATAAAAAAGAGCAGGCAATGGATATTGAAGTGCTATGGCTAGTTAGCTAAATCTAAATATATTATCATTTACATGCATTTGAATTCTCATAATAACCATTCTTGCATTATACTTAACTAAACTAAAGAAAATTATATGTTTTCATGATGATAGACAATATTCATTCTGTTAACCTGACTAGGAAATAAGTGATTGCACATAGAGTGCTTTCATTCATCATAGCTGAAGACAAATCCTGAGTCTATAGGAAAAACTGAAAGTGTCTTTTTAGGGTGAAAGATATCTCTTTGGGTAGAGCTGTTCTTAGAATTTTAGAGAGGTTCTGACTCGCTTAGTCATGACAAGCAAAGCCATTTAATCACTTTTTTTCCAGTAAAAGACATGCAAATAGTACCCCCCAAAATTTTTTTCAAAATACTATTTCTCATTTCTGAAAATAAAATTTGAATCTAAATATGTGCATTTGCTAAAAGGAAATATTGTTTGAAATTGTTGAAATGTTGAATTATTGTTTGTGGGAAAATAAAAAGGTTAATGATAACCAGAACAGACTAAGATGATTTATTACTTTAAAAAATATCGAATATAAAAAGAAATAGAAATGCAGAAAAAGTAGTATAGTTTATATTTTTTTTCTGTGATATGTTACACTGTGTTGAATTCAATACAGGGTGGGGATGAAAGGAAACAGGAAATATCCTTTTGTTAATGTGACAAACAGGTAACTTTGGAAAGCTGACACAATTTGCAACTTCTTTCTTAGTTTAGGTTTCATTTAAAACAACATTCTACTTCGCTAAGCCATTTCTCAAAGGATATTTTTACAGAAAGTGCTCTGATTAGGTGTACATGTTGTCTTTATTCCACTGTGGAGCTACAAGTTACAAATTAACCAATTTGAATGCCCCACATTTGTGCTTTGTTTAATGCAACAGAAGTAAGGAATTGTATTATATATGCTATCTATATTATTGTAATAATATTAAATAGCCAGTGTTTGAATATTTCTTTAAAATGAGGAAAGAATTTTAAGGACTCATGAATGTCTCTGGACAAAAAGTAATAAAATAAAAACAGACTTGTAGACCATGTTCCAAGGAATCAGGAACTGAATAATTACTGTATTACTGTCTCTTAATCAAGGACGGGCAGAGCAAACTTGACTCTGTCTTTCCTTCATTGTCATGCGGTCAGTAGATACATCATATTAAGTAGAAATGAGCTGAAAAGTTCTACCCATAAAATACTAGGCAGATCTAAAATAAAAGACTGTGTCACAATAGTAAAAACTTCCTTTGTTAACTGAGAAGTAGACATTTCTATACAGTAA